ATATAGGAAACAATGAGAAATTTGGAATAATCATTAATAATCTGACAAGTGTAAAAAATGTTGTAATAAATTAGATATTTCTTATTCTCCATTCTGTTACACAGAGTGGAATATTCCCAATAGGTGAGGTGGTATGGTAACAACATAAATCTGTTATCCCCCTTTCTCACATTTCAGAAAATTTGCCAATTTTTCTCTGTAAAAAGCACCCTTTGGTGCCTGAAAGAAATAAGGGGAAAAAAAAAAGAGAATTTCTTCACAAAACTCTTCATGGTATCAAAGCGCAATTTCTGATCCGAGAGCTTCCTTCACCTGAGCCAGAATTCAAATGACCACAGACGAGCTCAATTCCTCTCCTCCCGAAGTCTCTTCGGGTTCTGACCACCCGCGACTGCGAACCACAGCCTAGTTGAGCAGGCATCATCGTTAATTACGGGGTACAAACTGAACGGATAGAACTACCTTCAATGGTCAACCTCTATTTTACTGTTTATTCGCGGTAAGGGACGCGACGATTACCTCACAGGTGAAACTGTTCCTCCCGCAACCAGCGACCCAAGTTTCTGCATCTGGAAAATAGAGAATAGCATGGTAATGTCATGACTTATTAACTCAATAGTGCTCGACATTGGTGGGAACTTCATGCTGTATGAAACAACAAATGAAATCTGGGAAGCGGCTCGCAAATCATACTCCAGCAAAGATAACGTCTCCTCCATTTTCGAGGTGGAGTCGACTTTTCATGAGCTGCATTAGGGTGAGCTTTCTGTTACTTAATACTTTAGTTTACTAACCCGAAGCTGGCAGCAACTGGATACCTCCGAAGAGCATCAAAGGAGTTGTCCAAATGATGTTTGGTCGTTCAAACTCTTTGTAGAGCAGAAAAGAATATTCAAATTCTTGATGGGGTTCAACAAAAGTCTGGATGAGGTTCGTGGACGGGAGCTGGAAATGAAACCACTACCTAGCATCCGAGAAGTATTCGCGGAAATCCAGAGAGAAGAGAGCAGGAGGCGGGTGATGATGGGAGAAGCTCAGCCTACTTACTATGCTGAAAGTGTCTTAGCACTCATCACGCGGTCTGATTCCCGTTGAAAGAAGAGAAGACCGTACTGTGATCACTGCAGGAAACTCGGTCATGTCCGCGAGAAATACTGGAAGTTGCATGGGAAACCCAACAAGAATAAGGCCGAAAGAACAAAGAGCAATGGAGACCGTCAAGTAAATATTGTTGCTTCCACTATTGAAGAAAAAGTTACAAAAAGCAGTCCCTTCAATGCTGCACAAATGGAGGTCCTTCAACAATTATTCAAGTAGAACTGTTTACCTACTTAGCCCGTGCGTGCTTCTGTGGCACAAAAAGGTAAAACAACAATTGGTTTGACAGCATGTTCGTCAAAACAGGACACATGGGTAGTTGATTCTGGAGCATCAGAACATATGACAGGTAATGTATCTCTATTTCAGAATTACAAAACATCAGATGAGAATTTTACAATTAAAATTGCAGACGGGTCAATCTCCAAAGTGGCTGAAACTAGTTCTATTGTTTTAACACCACAGTTGACCCTTAATTCAGTACTTTATGTACTAAAATTGGACTATAATTTACTATCGGTTAGCAAACTTTTTGGTGATCTAAACTGTGTTGCTAAATTTGGTTAAAAAATGTGTGAATTTCAGGACTTAGAATCGGAGATGACGATTGGCAATGCTAGGATGCGCTCAGGCTTGTATCTCCTTCAAACAGACCCTTATGGAAGATAAGCTAAAATGGCAGTATGTACAAATTCTGTTTCTGTGAGTCAATCAAATAATGATCATGATATCATATTATGACACTATCGCTTAGGTCATTCAAACTTTTTGTATTTACAAAAGATTTTGCCCTTATTGTTAAAGAATAAAAATTCACTTTTGTTTCAATGTGAAGTGTCAAATTTCTAAACATAGTTGAAACTCTTTTGCAAGTTTGCCATATAAGCCTTCCAAACCGTTTACATTAATTCACAGTGATGTTTGGGGACCTTTCAGGGTCACCAACATATCCGGAAATAAGTGGTTTGTATTTTTTATTGATGATCGCATTAGAATTACTTGGGTCTTCCTAATGATTGAAAAATCCGAAGTAAAAGGTATTTTCAAAAGATTTAATTCTATGATCCAAACCTAGTTTCATACTACTATACAGGTACTTAAAACTGATAATGTCTGTGAATATTTTGAAACCACTCTTGGGAAA